TTCCATGGACAACAACCTGCGTGCAGAGATTATGAGGCAGAAGATGCGCGTGGGCGGCAAACGGAAACATAAAAGAAGCGGCTCATCTCGTATCGGACAAGAAAGTACCACCTGACTTTTTCGACTCTACGGTATTGCCAGCACTCTTTTACGCATCCGAGACGTGAGCGGAGAACAAGACGTCAACGCTAATGTTGGTTCGCGCACAAAGAGCTCTAGAGCAGGAGCTGCTGAAGATCAACCGCGCAAAGCAGAGAAGTCTCAACCTCCGCAGCGCAGACATGCGCTCAATGTCCGGCATCCGTGACGCCGAAGTGCACGCGTGGAACGCAAAGAAACGATGGGCAGGGCACGTGGTTAGACGCACGGACGACAGGTGGACCACTCGCGTCACTTTCTGGTACCCACGTGAGATTAAACGCACACTTGGCCGTCCTGCAACGAGATGGAGTGATTCACTGAAGAAACTTCAGGGAAACGATGGTCAACACTGGTCCCAAATCGCTCAAGATCGTCAAAAATGGATGGAAGCGTGTGCTCGCCGCTAAGGACTATCACCGACAAGTATCCAAGTAAGTAAATCGGTATTTGTCACTTGAACTAGAAGACAGAGCTGTTTTTTTCAAAAATTCGTTCGAGATGGGTTCCTCCCTCACACGATCGAATTTACGCTGGGAGAACGGGAGTGTGTTGGAGATGAAATTCAAACTAATCAAAGTAATAGAGTTCTTTGTTTCCTTGTTTTCTCAAGTTCTCCCAAAGGTTATGAGAAGAAGTTTGAAGTAGGCCTAAACGGATCTCAAAATCAAGAGCGAACCGCCGCCCCACGCCCCTTACCAAGAGTATGCAATTTCATTGAATTCGACCCACTACAGGGTGCGGCAAAAGTTCTGGCAACGGTAAATATGCCCGTAAAAGCAGTCAAATTGATCACACATCACATAACTACATCTTACATCACACAACTTCATCATCATTTATCAACAGCTATATAGATCACAAAAACAAATTAGTTCTCGAAATAGCCTCCTTTCGGGCGAATACAGGATGAAAGTCTCTTAGGAAACGCGTCGACTGCGGCACGAAGGTAGTCTTCGTCCAGATTCTCCCATGCTTTACCGAGGATGCGCCTAGAGCGTCCAAACTTCTATGCTGAGTATAGCAGGCCTCCGTCCTAAAAGCTGACCGCACGAACTAGTCCAGTGGATCCAGGCCTGGACTGTTTAGGGGCTAATCGTTCGACGACATGAAGTCTGGGAAGTGCGTGGCGCACCAGTCCTGTACCAGCTCGGACCTGTGTGCTGAAGCTGAGTACTGTTGATAATTCCATGACCAGTTGTCGAAATGGGATTTCGCTCTAACGAGTACCTCGTTCTCCAACACGCCTTTTAAGTAGGTCGTGCTATCAACCTCAACCCTTTTCTCCGACAAACTCAGGAGCATCTTGCCGTCCGATGTTATTGTCCCAAAAACCATCAGCGAGTTGGGGTGTCCAGATCGCTGTGCAATCCCTCCATGTTGACTGGATTCTGTAGGGCTTCCCGCTATCATCCCATCGTCTTGAGTGGTCAGAAATTGATCTGTTGACAACAGACATTCGTCAGTGATAAGGATGTAGCTGTGCCGTCTCTGCGAAAATCGCTTCAAAACTTCCTTACATCCTTAGAGCCTAGTTTTCTTCATACACTCAAATAGGATGTGAGCTTTTCTGATCTTATAGGAGCGAAGTCGAAGGTGGCTGGTGACAATCCTTCCAACGGATCGACAGGAAAACCCACCTCATGAGCCATTTTTCTCTTAGATCTACGAGGGTGGGGCGGATTTTCCCTCGTATGATTTTTACGATCTCCTTTGTCTTTGAACTCCTCGGTCTTCCACTTTAAAGTTTGTCCTCCATAGTTCCTGTCGCCTTGTACCTGGTGACATTGTTGTACACGGTTCTGATGGGAATCTGGAGCTGCTTGGAGATGGACTTTGCCGTGCACTAAGCCAGATGGAGGTGCAGGATGGAGGCTCGTTGGTCTTTGCTTGTCACCATTGTTCGGAAAAGATGATCTAGTAGGCCCCCTAGTAAACGAGTTAGCCGGCCAGGGCAAAACGCGTAAGTCGTATCAATAGTTATCAATGAAGAGTGTATGTCAGTGAGTCGAGAGTTCAGTCGACTGTCTGTGCGGTCCGAAGTAGGCCGCTTGTTCTCATAAGTTCTCCTCCCCGTTGCGACCTCAGTGGTCGTCGTCTCTTTCACTTCCACTCCG